CCTGCTTTTCCCCCCCACAGCTGGAAATTTAAAATTGCCGCGGGACGAACCCCCCCCCCCCCCCAACCCCCCACCATGGCACCAAGAGGGGAGATGAGAGGGCTCCAGTTCCTGGGGATTTGGCCCCAAACGCTGCAGGTAGGCTGGGCAGGCTTACCATCATCCGTCTCCACGTAGAGTCGCAGCCCCAGGTTGTATTTCCGATCCACTAACCAGTGGTTGCTGGCAGCCGTGACGTCAAATACCAGCCAGCCCTCGGTCCCGGCACGCAGGTCCTGGACATCCAGCAGGAACAGGTCAGACTCCCTGTGGAAATGGGGGGGGTGGTGGTGGTGGTGGAAAAACAACCGAGCAGGTGAGTAATAGTACCCAAAGGGCACCAGCACCAGCGATAATTCACGGAAATGAGTCCTCGGTGCCTGTGTCCATACAGGTCCCGGCGCAGCAGGGTCAGGACGGCGGCTCCCAGCGCCTCCGGCTGTGCCGCACATGATGGTGGCACCCTGGCAGCTGCCCTGGGAAAAGCATCCTCCCAGCCCCGGCTGAAAAGCCGGGGTGTGACATTGCCCTGTGGGAAAGCGTGGGGGGACCAGCCAGCAGCGGCGGTGCTGCTTCCCTCAGCGTTTGCATGGTGGTGGGAAGGGAAAGTGCCAGGGCTGGTGCTGACCGGGGGCCCCATCCCCATTTTCATCCCCATCCCTGTCTTCATCCCCATCCCCGTCTTCATCCTCATCCCTGTCTCCATCCCCACCATCTTCATCCCCATCCCCATATCCCTGTCTCCATCCTCATCCCCATCCCTGTCTCCATCCTCATCCCCATCCCCATATCCCTGTGTCCATCCTCATCCCCATCCATGTCTCCATCCTCATCCCCATCCCTGTCTCCATCCCCATCCTCATTCCCGTCCTGATCCTCATCCCCATCACCTGTTGGAGTGCTCGGCGGCGATCTCGTAGATGCTGACGTGGAGGGTGGTGTTGGCATGGCGGCTGACACCCCGCGCCTTGTAGATGCGAAACTCGGCGGCCGTCACCGACTCGCCCGTGGGCACCTGGGTCAGGTCGAATCTGAACTCCTTCCAGTACGGCTTCGGCGAGAAGATGTCCCGGTCCTGCTCGACTGCGGAGCAAAGGGGTCAGGGAGGGCTGTGCCCAGGCCCGCACCGTGCCCCCGGCCACCCTGACGGGCTGATCAGAGCCTGCAGCCCCCCCCACCGCGTCCCACCGACCCGATTGCCCCCGATTTGAGGACAAACCCCGCTGGCTCCGGGCCCCTCACCCCGCTGAGCTCTTGGCTGCTGCTGCTGCAAATTCCCATCTCTCCTGTCCCGAGAGTTTTAATCTTGATGCAACCCCCCCCCATTTTTGCACACCCCACCCCTGACTTTATTTTCCTGTGAGCCCACCAGCCTCCCAGCCCTCT